AAAATATTAAAATGATAAACCCTTCTTGTACTTACATTAGACATTTACTCGCATATTGTGCCATTGTTAATAACCTTGCGAGCGAGACTTCGTGAAAAATTCATGGTCTATTTCCTACTGAAAATCGATGCAAACTGTTTGCGACCGGCCTTATGTTATGTCTAATGAATTTCTAACAATAGCATTAATAGCCTGCGTACACCTGAAACTAAGATATCGTACAACTGTTTAGTCTCGCTTTGATTCCTATGAGCTTATATGGAAGTGCTCATAGTCAATTTTTAGTTTTGAAACTAAACAGTTGAATGAACTGCGAAACAAACGACAATCGCACAATCGTGCATAACTTAGTCTAAGATGTGCGCCCGCTCTAAGAAAATCCGTTTAAAAAAAATTGACAGTCGTAGAGAATAAGTTATGTAAATCAAATGAAAATTCATTCGTGTAAGCTACAAGTCATTATGCAGCTTACAAACGTAGTTATTGCCCTACATCCCCGGCAGACGACGTCCACAGTACCGCCATGCCAGCTCGATCCATCCTGCGTTTTGTCTCGGACCATGACTGCTGGCTGCAACCAAATTTAATTGAGATCCGCTCAGAAATTTAGGCTACAAACTCTTATATCCATCTAAACTTTAACAGTGGTAGAGCCCGCTTTAACATCTTCGCACGAATTGGTCAGCTCGCCCGATGTAATGCCACGATTACACAGAAGACAGGCGTGAAGTGGGAGCAATTCTGTGTTTCGTATGATGAGTGTGGTGCTGGAGGCCCAACTTTATTCCCTTTTCTTTCCTACTCTTTTTCTTATAAGTGGAGGATGGGAAAGGAAAGTGGATTTGACGGTGGAGAGCATAGGAAGGGAATATACCCTCTTCATGTGCGTTTTCTCTTCTGTCGAATAAAGGAAGGCAACGCATCTGCTGTTGTTAATGTCTATGGGCAGCGGTCGCTTCGCCATGTTGGCGGATTCAGGTGGCCGCTTGCTCGTTTGCCGCCTTATGATATAAAAAAAAATTATGAAATTAGTAAGATAGTGGCAATTCAAAACTGCTTTCTGTCTAGCGATTATTCCACACAAGATAAACCAGATGTTAGTAACGATTGGTATAAAATTGAAAAAATTGCCGAGATTTCTCAGCAGTCACGTCTTCTTCGATACATTTTCTGACAACAAAAGATTGTTTTCGTTCCCCTGTCGAAACTCGACGGGTTTTTTATCGAAAGCAAACAATAATAGAGAAAAGTTTTTTGTTATCTGGAGGATAATTTAATAAAGTACCGACTGTTATCAGAATTGCTTTTTTCCTAAGTTACATTTTTCTTAAAGCGTTTGATAAATCTTCCCCTCTTCACTCTTGAGATATAATTTGCTAACGTAGGTTTGTGCTACACGAAGCGCCAATAATTTGTGGCACGGACTACCGATCTTGCGGTCGAGGGTTCGAATCTCCATTCGACTTGTAAACTATATCCTTGCATAAGGTTAAAGCTTTATTTGAATTGTTAAAGGAAATATTAGTAAACCAACAAAAATCGATTTATATTTTTACAAAAAAAAAAAACATTGGCTGAACTCTTGTATACAATAGTCATCACTCTCTTTCTGTTTGTAAAAGTTGAAATGACGTTACAATTTTGTTGTAATTTTACAGCAGTGAATAATTGCAGCGCCTCTATCGGGCGTAAAGTACACTAACACTCATACAAAATTTTTTGGATGTCTGATATTTTCCCGTAAACTTTCGTGCTAGGCCCTCCATACAATATCTAAAAGTTTTCTATTTAAGTTCGACAATCGTAGTTTATTATTTGCTTAGACAAAAGTTAAGTGCTACTTAGTAATGTCATACTCAAGTACACAATAAGTTTTTTTTTTTTTAATATTCGAATATTATTGAATTTTATGATATTACGTATTTTCTCAGTTCTCTGAACATTTCATTCAAATTAACTTGACATTGTAACATTTGCGTGTTTAAACGTAATCAACAAATATTTATGTTCGTGTAAAACCGCCATTCAGTTGACATCGGCTTACCGTTATTTGTTATGGTAATAAGGATCAAGTTATGCTGGATGAGTATTATGAATGAGAATGCTTAGTCATATCGTATAAACATTTTGAGGTACAACCCAAAGCTTAAGTTTTGATATAGTTTGTAGTGAAAGCAATAGTATGTGTGACTTGACTTTTATGACCGGCTGTAAACTCGATATTTTTTTTTAATCATAAAATTTAATATACCCGTGAATTATTGTAATATTAGGATTCAATTATAATTAAAACATGCTAATGTTATAAATGCGAAAGTTTAGATGGATGGATGGAAGGATGGATGTTTATTAGAGTTTGTAGCCTAAACGCCTGAATGGATTTCGATGAAATTTAGTATAGATGTAGAGGACTGTCTGGAAGCACACATAGGTTACTCACGCGGACGGAGTCGTGGGCGAAAGCTTGTCAATAAATTATTCGAAAGCCTAATTACAAACCAAACATTGCGGATTCTTAATTTAAATATTGGTATTGAGCTATCCCTGTAACATAAAATGACAAGATTTTTAGCAACTTCAATAGGATTTACATTAAGTCTGGGCCGGTAATTAATTTCCCTAGGCTTGTTTCGTATAATTTTATACTTCTGTCTTAAAACACTTCAAGTCCAGATATCTAATATATTAGACAGATATTAATGAGGACAGATAAATTAAGTATTATTATTTTCATAAAACAAAGTAAAAAGACGCTGCTTTTCTGCACCTCATTTCATTTCATTCATTTCATTTCATTTCCTCAAAGGCCGGCAACGCATCTGTAGTTCCTCTGGTGTTGCGGATGTCCATGGGCGTCCTTGACCACCTAGGTGTACACGCCGCTCGTTTGCCCACACTTATTATAAAAAAAAAAACCTACATGTTTAAGTTTGTCAACGCTCAATTTTAACTGAACAATCGCACTGACCAGTTAAAACTTCGTGTGCAGGAAAAACAAAGCAAACTGAACAGTTTTACTGATTGAACAGAACTCGACTCTTCAGTTAAAACTGTCAGAAGTGAGGGTTATAGAATATTTACTGCCTATTTGCTCTCCTTTCTCTCTTATAACTGCATTTTTTTGTTCTTTCTTAATTTAATTTTTATGTTTATAGTGTATACCTATCCTATTTCTTTGGCAAACTAGCAAATTTTAATCATAATTGTTCAAAAACTTGTAACATGCAGTCATCAAAAACCACTGAAGGTTAATCCGACTGTGACCTCGCACGCTATAGACGCCCTTGGCCGTTATCGCCCTTAACAATTTGTGAAGCCAAGAATAACATAGAATTCACTTTTAGACCAGAATTTAGTGCATAGAAACTAAAATAGAATTTTAATTTAGCAGTCAGTATTTTAGTAAAAGCGGACTGCAATTAGATCAGTATTTTTTTTATATAATATAAGATGGCAAACGAGCAAGCGACCACCTCAATCCGCCAAAATGGCGAAGCGACCCCTGCCCATAGACATCCGCAATTGCAGGTGCGTTGCCTATATTCGACGGAAGAGGAGACGCACTTAAAGAGGATATTTCCCCTTACTATGCGTCTCCTCCGCCGTCAAATCCACTTTCCCTTTCCATCCCTTCCAATAAGAAAAAGGGTGGGAAAGAAAAGGGACCAAAGTTGGGCCTCCGGCACCACACTCATCAGAAGAAACTCGGAATTTCTCCCACTTAACGTCTGTCTTCTGTATGGTCGTGGTATTACACCGGGCTAGTCGGCCCATTCGTGTGAAGAAGTTAAAGCGGGCTCTATCACTGTGAAGATCAGTAATTGGTCACTAAGAGAGAAACTAGTAGAGTTTTTGTAAGAAATCTGCTCTCTTTCCCACTTAGTATCTGAAGACCGAATTCTGAAACGACATTGAAATGTAAAACTCCTTCAATGATAAAGCCAGTTACACTCAAACAAGATCCGTCAGATTGTAAGGGGTGCTTACTAAGCCATGGGGTTTCAGCACTAACTGTTCCCGTGCGGCTTCATCCACATGAAATTAAAAAAATACATTATTTTATTGTTTACATTTGAAAATTCTCAATATCAAATATCAAAATAACCGTTACCACAATAACCCTGCTTCCTTAATTTTGGCAGCTTTTAGTTAATGGTCCCTTTCCTACATGAAGGTATTTTTCCAATTTATTTACTCCCTAAGTTTAATAGCGTGAAAATATAAAGCCTTAAAGTAGTAAGTATAGGGCTTTTTAGTATAGGGCAAACTAGAGTCGATCGGCTGGTAGGCGATAAAAAAGCTATTTTTTTTTTAATTTATGGCTTATTTAGTTTAGATGGCAGTTCTTAAGGTATACTTTACTTTCAAAGGTGAGAATTATCTTACATTGGATATCTTCCAACTATCATTAACTTGGAAGATTGCCAAAAGTTTGAGTAACTTCTTTGAAACGTTTAAGTGACGATGACCGCATACTAAAAGGCCTGGTAATTGCGTGGATTTTTTAAGTATCTCTTGTAAATATCTAAAGTGGTAAAACTTAATTTTAAGAGACAGGAAGGATTATGTATTTTTGTATGTATTGTAATAACTCAAAAAGTACTGGAACGATTTGAAATTCTTGCAATATTAAAAAGCTATGTTATCACTGAGTAACATAAGCTATTTTCTTACTGTTTTTTTTTTAATTTTACGGGGGCGATGTCGCGGGCTACAGCTAGTATTTGAAATAGAAAATACCAAGACGAGTTAACAATAAGCACTTCTTGTGATGATTTATTTAATATTGATAGTTATACTCTTTACTACCTTACTTAAAATAGTCCAAAATGATAATATTAGCTTTTTAACTATTTTGATATGTTCTATATTCTTGAAGGTTATTTAGTCTGTGCTATAAATCAATACCATTTATCTTTATTTAAAATAACAATATAAACTTTGGGATTGTTTTAAAATGTCGGAATTCTACTAGTTATGTTAATAACCGGACAGTTCAGATGTCAGAAATAAGAGTGTTGCATTGGCTCGACTACATGGCCATATTGGTAGTGGCGAACAGGGGTGTGTGGATACATGGAAAAACGGTGTTATTAGTAAGGTTATTCTGTACAAATTAAAAGAAAACATAAGAGGTAAAGAAGACTATATTTTATTAAAGCATGGCTGATGCTCCTATATACACGACAAGAATACCTTTGTCAAAGAAAGTCAAGAGAATTCTGTAACAATATATTTCCAAATATCTAGGAACTATACTAGAAGTTGAAAGCTTACATTTGACGTAGCAAAGCCGAGTATCGATTGAGAGCAGCTGTTTCAAGTTCATTGCGTAACTCGTCATTTGGCATACAGGTTGCTTTGGAAGCTAGCCAGCGATGTTCAGCTCAATTTATATTGGACAATAGAATGAATACCTTCTATCTGCAAGTCAATTTACATCGCCCAGTAACTATAAGATCCCCTTATAATTACAATTTACCTTAGGTTTATAGGTATATCGTTATATCCCTTTTTTATTAGATTTTGTAAGTTTTTAGTATCGTTTTACTTGTTAATTGTAAATCGTTTATTATAATTTGGTTTTGAATTTTATAATGTTATCTAAAAATATCGTGCTTCAAACTTTTTCTTGTTATAAATTGTTGTTTTTTTATTTTAGTGGATTTCGAAATTTTGTTATTATTTTGTATAAACTGTGTACAGTTCTAAAGAAGTCATAATTACTTCCATTACAAACAAATTTTGTCGGTACCAATTAGTTTCATATTTTTTAAACTTCAATACCTCAGCAAAAGGAAATCATTCGTTTGACAATAAAAAGAATTGAATATTTAATCTCTTTGTAGGAATCAACAAATACAATTCACAAAGTCGTATAATTTGAATAACAAAACATACTAAAGCAAGCACCGATTTCATTCGCTATTCTCCTACCATTGAAATTCTGTTTTATGATTCTAATCTAATTTATCCAAAGTTGGTTGAGTTTAACGATGTTTGTGAATTTTAACAAACCTATTAATGTTGATCACGAGAAATCGCATAAGTAACATAATATAGAAGAGTATGTAAATTATTTCACTGAAAAAAATATCAAAGAATATGTCAAAAAACATTCTGAAAGAATTCCAAACAAAAGATCTAAAGATACTAATAAATTCCAATAACAAAAACAATGTCTCTAAATCTCGACATTCTTCTGTCATCCAATGAATGATGTAGACTGTCGAATAAATCTTTAACCTTTGTCTCTTGTTCCAGATGGAAATTTTAGAAGCGAGGTAGAAGTGCGCGGGCGCGGCACGGAGCCGGCGTTCCTGCACGAGCTGCACTCAACGCTGGCGTCTGGGGTCGCGCCCGCGCCGCACTGGCACCACACCCTGCTTCTCGTGCTCAAAGGGCTCGTCTTCATCACTATCATCCTCGGCGCGCTGCTTGGCAACGCGCTTGTCATAATCTCTGTACATCGACACAGGAAGCTCCGCGTCCTTACCAACTACTACGTCGTCAGCCTTGCTGTCGCTGACATGCTTGTCGCCCTCTGTGCTATGACTTTTAACGCCAGCGCCGAACTCACCGACGCTTGGCTCTTCGGCCCTCTAGTCTGTGATATATTTAACTCCCTCGATGTTTACTTCTCAAGCGCTTCTATACTACATCTCTGTTGCATTTCTGTAGATAGATATTACGCTATCGTCCGACCTCTGGAGTATCCTGTGACAATGACACACAGAACTGTTTGCTTTATGCTCGCTAACGTGTGGCTTTGGCCAGCCTTCATCAGTTTTGTCCCCATATTCATGGGATGGTACACAACAGAACAACATCGACAGTACAGAAAGCAACATCCAGACGTCTGCATGTTCAAAGCCAATATGGTGTATGCAATAATTTCATCGAGCGTCTCCTTCTGGATCCCAAGTGTGGTTATGATATCGATGTACTGCCGGATATTTAGAGAGGCTATCAGACAACGAGAAGCTTTAACGCGAACTTCCTCGAACATTCTTCTTAATTCTGTCCACTTGAGGCACACGTCACATGCCGCTCATCATTCCCACTATCTACATCCTGACAGACGACCGTCCGACATCAGTCCCAATTACAGCACGTTTACAGAAGTTGGCCCAGAAGAGACGGAGTTTGGTGGAGAAGTTGTGATGGCTTTGGGTGATATATGTCCGAGTAAAGAAGCCAGTCCGAGGAAGTCGGTTAACGTGAGTTGTGATACGGCAAGTTCAGGTTATTGTTCGGGAGGTTCGAATAAGCGATCATCTAGTGGGCAAACTGCGACTGGCTGGAGGCCGAGTTGTGCGTCTGCGGCTGCATCCAGAGATTTAGCGAAAGCTGCTACGGAACTTAATTCTCAAGGTATATTAACTATTTAAACAACTTTAAAAACAAAACAAATACGATCATCAATCACTAATCAGAGTTTAGAATTTGTTATTAACTCCCATCATATCGTAATATGAAATATTTGGTCTCATAAGACTGTTCAAACAACAAACCGTAAAAGAGATAGTTTAGAATACTTTCAAAAGTATGTTATCCTATATTCCAAACAGGTATTCTTAAGTAACTAGATCGCACCTCGTGTGGTTTCTTCTGAACAACATCCAATATTCATCCCAACTTTCATCGTAGAGTTTCTAACTATACGATATTATGTTATAGGGGTGACATCATTATTAAACTTTGAATTTTACGGGCATACTTCGACAGTAATATAGATGACATACCAAGTGGTTTGGCAACCCTAATAGGATTTCGATATCGTACACAATAGAGATTTCATACTCAGTAAAAATATTTCTTTTTATTGTTAGGTGCATCTCTGCGAGCGGCGGGCAAGTCTTGGCGGGCGGAACATAAAGCTGCTCGTACACTAGGCATTATTGTTGGTGCTTTTTTACTATGTTGGCTGCCTTTCTTTTTATGGTAAGAGTAACCTTGAAATTTAGTTAATGAAGTTTATTAAAACTAGCTTTCGCCCACGATTACGTCCGAGTGGAAGTAATAAAAAACAAACGTGAGTAGCCTATGTGTTCTTCGAGACAATCCTCTACGTTTATGCTAAATTTCATCGAGATCCGTTTAGCCGTTTAGGCTACAAACTCTAACAAACATCCATCCATCTAAACTTTTGCATATATTCTATTAGTAATGTTGGTCTCCCCGAGGTCTATTAAATGATAATATTTATTCCAGGTACGTAACGACAAATGTATGTGGAGAGCCATGTGAGACTCCGGACGTGGTTGTAGGGGTTCTATTCTGGATAGGTTATTTCAATTCAGCGCTAAATCCGCTAATTTACGCGTACTTCAATAGGGACTTTAGAGATGCGTTCAAGAATACTTTGATGTGCGCTTTACCTTGCTGCTTTAGCTGTTGGAAGGATACTGGTGGGACGCATTTCGTATAGTAATGAGGGAAAGTTTTTGTTGATTATTAAATATTGTATTAGTTATATTAGGTTTAAAATCAATGTTATTTTGTAAGCGTCAAAATAAGTTTTTAACACGCTCACTGCATAACAGGCCGATATCGGCCTGACGTGGTACTTAAGCTGGTGCGGGCAAAGAAAACTATCGATTATCTCAGGTTTATACATTACACAAAATGTATACATTATGTTTCCACAAAGTTATAGCGATTTAATCTATCCTAGTGCTGGTGGGTCTAAAAAGGCCTGCCACGCACTGGCGGAAATATCATTGGGGTCGCATTTCGGCCCGCCGCACCAGATGAAGAATTATGATTTTACTTGCAGTAAACGTGTTAAGTCACAATTTCTAACTGCAATTAAGAATCGTTTAAATCGTAATGCCTATTCAAAGTACTTTAGTTACCAATAAGTCTGAGAGACTCACATAATTGGCACTTACCTCGGACTTTTCTGTATACAAAAAAGAACTTTAAGTTTGTATTTCTGTACATTTGCTATTATTACTAAAGTATTCTTATTAACATATTTTAATAATCAATACTAGAAGTTTAGTGGGTATATGTTTATTCAACGAGTTCCTTGAAATAATACTCGTAAGTATTAGAATATTGGATATTATTATAGTATTCTATGAGTTAGCAATAATAGAGTATTAAAATTCATATCTCAGTGTTTATTGCTTAAGTGAAGATTGTTTAAACCAGTGTATTTCAAACTTAATAGTGTAAAACAAACAATAACACCACCAACTCTTCAGTTTCGAGTTTGTCTCCGCCGAGCAAGCGTCATACCCACACCCCCCGCGCCCCCCGTCCTGTCGAATCGCACGTTGCGGGCTAGGTCACGCAGTGACCGTCGCGACGCGATAGCGAATAAAGCCAGTATCCACTCATCCTGAAGGAGGACCCCCTACGGGTTTGAAACTGGTTATTGACCGAAAGTTCCTTCAGCCGAGCTATAAATCATATAGTATAATGTCTCACGAAAGTTTTAATAACTCAATGATATCAAACTTATTTCTTCTACTGCCCCCTCTGAAAATCAATGGTCTTTCAGCGCCTCCCATTTTTATACAGTTTTAGTGAGATTTAAAATACTATATAAAAAAATGAAATTACAAATTATGTATCGCCCCTCTAACCCATATCAAAACCAACCAACCACCAACGATTTTTTTCGGGAGCCCTTTAAAGCCCCTCTCTAGGTTTCAAACGCCCCCAAAAGGGCGTTATCGCCCACTTTGAGAAACACTGGTTTAACTTAGATTTAAATTAATAATTTGCTCATACGTTAGTTTAATAAATTAGGTGATAATTGCAAATAATTTTGGTATGTTAATATTTTATTGTAGAGTTTTGTTTAGAGTATTTCGTATTCTTTTTTGACTTAATTACCTTGTTTTTTTTTAATAAATCAGTATTATATGGTAGTAACAACGAAGTATTGAATTATATTTATAATTATACTTATTAACTATATGTATAATTATATTTAGATGAAAGAGTTTTTATTAAGTTACATTATTTGACTATTTCTTTGAAGTTGATGTAAATGTTTCCCTTTTATATAAGTTAACCTTTATCAGTTTTACAAATAAACGGGGTTCAAAATTAACCTTTGGAATAAACTGAGTATCAGCAAAATTTAGTACAAATTAAATACAAATTTAGTACAAATTTAGGACAAATTTAATACAAATTTAGTACAAATTTGCTTGTACTCAGTTTATTCCTAAGTTTAACTTTATACCGCGTTTATTTGTAAGGCAGCGTATAAGGAAGCAATATTTGACGCTTAAATGTATTATATTTAAATAAATTATGTTCAATTAGATGTAGTGTTTATGTCGCATAGGAGCAGGCGCATGACTAAACTATCGCACAACGGTGTGCGATAGTTTCGCAGCCAACTGTTTAATTGCACAAATAAAATCGGTTAGTGTGCACACCTCCGCATAAGCTTATAGAAATCAAAGCGCGACTAAATAGTTGTGCGATAGTTTAGTCAAAGTTGTGCGATCTTAATGCTGAAAGCAATTTATAATTAACGTTAGTTTTACGTGTTGTGATATATTAGAAGTAACTAATAAATAGAATAAAATATTCAAAGTTTTATTAATCAATATTATATTTTAGTAGAGAGACTTTTCCCATTTTTAAAAATATATTTAAATATTTTCATGCAGTCAAAATTTAGTTCCTAATTCAATATTTATTTGAATCAAAATTAAAAGTTACACAGATTATTAAAAATGTATTACATTTTATTTAATCAAAATAAAACTACAGAGAAATGTAATTGAAATTAAGAAATGTTTTATTTTTTAATATAACTTATTTATTCAACTATTTCTTTATTATGTAATGCAGCTGTAAAATTACGGAATATTTATAATCTACATATATTAGAGGCGTTTGCTTATAGTTTATAATATATTATTTATGCTAAGGAATAGAATTAAGTTGTAATTTATTTGCTAAAGGGGAAAAGAAATACGTAATTATAAAGTTAATATAATTAATATATAGAATTGAACGATGTAATATACATTTATATGTAGAACGCTAACTTATATAACTTCGTCATAATGCACACTTTCATATTATTTCGTGATAGTTTTTTAACTAACTTCGACATTAAATTGTAAACGATAGTTACACTGTTCTTTTACTTGTATTGATAGATAGTGTCATCCTTTTCTAACTCTTTGAAAAAAATGAGACAGCAATACGTAATGCAAACGTAATCATGGCAATGGAGTTTTAATTTTGACTTTTGATAATGAGAGTTCAAATCTCATTCACGATAACTTTTTTTTAATACGTTTAATTACAAATTGTTTTAAACAACACAGATTAAAATTGAATTAGTTTCAAAGATTAAAAATGTTTGTTTTCAAATTCAGTCAATAGATGGCGCTATTTCATCATGAAAGCTAATCAGTTGGATTTTTATTTTTCAATAAAGTTTAGGTTATTGTATATGTGTTTCAACAGTGAAAGACCACGGTTAAATCCTTCATCTATATTCACCTCACGGGTATCGTTAGAGTTGAATGGATTTTTTCCATCGGTTTTTATTACTTGCCTTTTGTATTGTAATAATTAATGCAGTGACCTGAAAGTGGATGTTAGGATTTGTAGGCAGAATTTTTTCCAGTCAGAGTTTTTTTTTGCGTTTATTTCTGTCATGTTATGCAAGAATTATTGAGAAAAAAATTGTTAAAATGAGTAATAGCTGAGCACAGAGTAATTTAATGGTTACATAAGCATAAAATTTAGAGTTATTTTCTATACTAAATCTACACTATCGCTAAAAGCGATTGACAAAACTACATTAAAATGCCGCTTCAATATTTCTAATTATTTTCAACAGTTATGTTCTATGAAACTAGCTGTTGCCCGCGACTTCATCCGCGCAATATTAACTTAAAAAGTAGCCTATAATATGCCCGTCTATGTCAGCTACCCTTCAGTGAAAGTCCGGTCGAAATCGGCTCAGCCGTTTCGGGAATTACCCGGAACATACGGGACTTGCGGACAGACAGACGAAAAGCAACGCAAATACACGATGTTTTCGAAATCAGGAATTTTTCTTTTGATATTACAGACATTTCAATTTTATTATATGTATAGATTAATTTATGTTTTTGTTTTATTTAAATATTGTCTTTTGTATAGATTTTGTAACGTTTGTAAATATTGTAAAAATTATAATGAATACTCTGAGCAATAATTAATGGCCGTAATTTTAGATTGTCGTAATTGTTATTCCACTTTCTCTATATCTTGTTAATGATTGTAAGAGTGTTTAGATATAGAGAATATATGATTTATTAAACTAGATTTGTTTTTATTTACCCCATTCTTAAAAAAACTTAGTATTTACATATTTTCAGACCTACACTTGAGGTACATTCAGACTAAGGCCCTGTCCCACTAAATTGTAAATTGTCTGATAGTAATCCGTCAACAGTGGTAGAGCCCGCTTTAACATCTTCACACGAATGGGTCGGCTTGCCCGGTGACATACCACGACCTCACAGAAAACAGGCGTGAAGTGGAAGCAATTCCGCGTTTCGTCTGAAGACCTAATTTTAGTCCCTTTCATTTTTCGCCTATTTCTTAAGAGGAAAGGATGGGAAAGAAAAGTGGTTTTGACGGTGGAGAAGACGCATAGGAAGGGGAAATGTCCTCTTTACAAGCGTCTTTGCCTCCATCAATTAAGGGTAGGCAACGCATCTGCAATTGCGGATGTTTATAAGCAGCGGTCGCTTTCTAATGTGATTCAGGTGGCCGCTTGCTCGTTTGCCACCTTGCATTATGAAAAAAATCCACCTTATTTGATAGTGACGTTATTTTAATGGGACAGGCCTTAAGTATTTATTAATTTTATTCTTTATGCCTTAGGTAATCCTCTTAACGAGGGAATAAATTACTGAAACGTAAAAATTATACTTAAGGGCGAAATTAAAAAGGAAACTTACGAAAAAACTCTATAGAGGGTCAAACTGGAAATAAGTACTTTTTCAATAAAGTTACGACCCAAGTTATTTATACAAAAGATGAAATCCAAGAATTGCTTATAGATTCTATTTAAAGTGGTCTCCGAAATTCTGAGGAACCACTTTGACCGTAAAAAGGTTTGCTTTTGTTATTTGGTTCAAATATTTAAAAAACTTTTTTTTTCACTTTTTATTAAAGCCATTATATTTTTTACGACTATTAAATCGTTAGGAATTTTTACAAAAATTTCGCCCGCGACGCTGTCCGCGTAAAAACAAAAATGAGTAGCTTATGTGTTATGTCAAATTATCCTCTAAATCTATACCAAATTTAATCGAAATCCGTTCAGCTGTTTATGCTACAAACTCTAACAAATATCCATCCATCTAAACTTTTGCATTTATAATATTTGTATGATTATCCAGTCAGCATTGCACCGCTCATTTTAAATGTGCCTTTTTTTTTTTCATT